CATTTTCAGTTAACAGAGGTTCTGACTGAAAACTTAACAGATATGAAAGTGTCTCAGAACTATAACTTTAGGTACCACTCTGGGATGAACAAAACATGATGTACCAAATGTTGAAAACTAAGAAACTTTAGGGTAGTAAACTAAGATTAACTCTAATTTTTAATGTATTTTCGTTCCATTTTATGTGAAATGGCCAAAATATCTATGGTACGGTTACGAAATTATTTTTTACCCCAGAGCTCGAGACAAGTTGTTTAACAAACTTTTTACTCAAGAACAATCTTTTCACAGTATTACTGTATAATTACTCCTTGTATACAATGACACAGCCGATTCTCAAGGTTTCGGTGGGACTACTTGTTTATTTCTTATTCATGTACCTCTCCCATTGACTTTGTGGACCATTTACATTATTATTCGAAAAAGAATGCAATATTAGAGCTTAAAAAAATATTTAGATCGGTATCATAACATAATTAATGTACCAATCTGGTGTACCAAGCTTACAACATATTATGCCCAAAAAATAATGAGTATTTAGTATTTGGTAAATTGGTATGTGCCAAAGAAAAAAAAAGTGCTCGTTGATTAATTGGAATTTGATCAATAGTTTAGGGATATAATTGGATATATTGAATGATATATGGGGCAAATGGTCATCTACAATATTGGTGGAGATGAGTGTTGTCCTAGCATTACAGCGTGAGTTCAAATCTCGTCGGCACTATAATTTAACATCTAAAATAACACACCTATCTTTGGACCAAAAAAATAATATATGGGTAAGGGTTATAGGGATCATAGATGGGTTGATAACCTAATATGTTTTTGCTACAGTGTCATATATTCTCTTTTAAGAAAGGAGAGCTGATAGATGGGTGTGTGCGCCTCCTTTTAGGAATTTTGAATAATATTACAACTTGAGCTAAAGGTTCATTCGTTTTGTATATCTTTCAATCATTGATTCCTCATTATTCTTTTAAGAGTTTAGTCAAAAAGAGCAGCTAGATTAAGTTTATCTCTAAATGGGGAAAAAAAACAAGCATATCAAGCAACTTGATAGCGTCGTTTGGAACCACAAGTTGAACTTAAATTAAATTAAATGAAGCAGGAAGATTAGGAGAATATTTGGAAAAGACTTGGACAAGTTCTTCGTCAACGAACAAACCATTAATGGTTAAATAAAGACTTAGACAAGTTCTTTGACTATGTACATTGTGCTAAGAAAATTGAATCCGACACAATTTTCTCTTCCACATTGCCAATCATTTGTTTCCAAAGAAAACCCCTGTTATCTTTCTAGCTTGTAAGTTCATCAATACATTATACATACTGCTACCAGTATTAGTTCATGCTTTCTTTCCCAAAGAAGTAAATTACTCTACCTGTTCATATATTCTTTCAATTTTTCAGGACAATCGGTCGAACGTAAACAGTGTCCAATGATGCATGTCCCGAATAATGAGTTCTCCATTCAATTCAGGTTAGTTTCTCTCAAAAAGAAAGGAAGTACGCTATGAAAAGTATTTCATAATTTAGAAAAATGATTTCCACACACTTTTATTCTCCTTTTTGCATATTTTTTGTTCTTCTGGATCTTCAAAGTTATGGCACAAATTCGTGTTTTCCCCTTTTCTGATTTGCATTTCTTCTCAGCGAAAGACCTTACAATCCCAACAGACCTAACCTGCAACCTGGAGGAGCTTCACCTGGTAAAAAATTTAAAAGGCCAAAAGTGGATCGACTTCTTGCAAATATTCCACTGTGGAACAAAATATTTGTAATTTCATGTGTGATTGCTGTGTCACTGGACCCTTTGTTCTTTTACATTCCATTCATCGATGAAGACAAGAAGTGCCTTGGAATGGACAAAAAGCTGAAGAATGTAACTCTTATTTTGCGACGCTCACAGATCTCATTTTCGTAGTGCATATTATTCATCAAATTCGTCAGGCCATTAAATCTGTCAACTCACAAGAAAGGAAAATGCCGGGGAATCGGAAGCTATGGCAGCAGCCAGGAAGTTATCTTGGCGCTCGATCGTTACTGACATTCTTGCAGTTCTTCCCATCCCACAAGTATGACAATGAGAATTAAAGCTTGATCAATTTTTTAGATGTTGTTATTTGAACCCCAGAAAAATCGTTCTGCACTCAACCAAGTTCTTTTTCTCTCTTATATTGACATGTTTAAAGTACAGAATGTCTTTTATGGAGTGCTAATAACTTTCTAATGTTTTTTGTGAATTATATGATTAGCTTGAAGTTTAACTAGCCTTGTTTGTTTGTTTTGCCCAGCTGCTGTTAGTAGGTGTTTTCTTCAAAATGAGAGGCTCTGGATATTTGGAGAAAAGAAAGGTTCTAAATGTTTTTCTTCTTGCCCAATATCTTCCAAGGATTTATCGAATTCACCTATCCTCTAACAACCTTTCACGAACTGGAATATGGGCCAAAGGTGCCTTCAATTTTTTCCTTTACATCCTCGCAAGTCATGTAAGTTTCTTTTTCATTGTCAATTTTAGTCTTCTAAATTTCATTATGTCGTTTAATTCCAAAAATAATTTACTCCTACTTATCATCCTATTCACCTTACCATTGGACTAACTCGAGCAGTAATTCACTTTAGTCTTTAGTTTGGCAAAACTAACTTTTGTTTGACTTAAACATTTATACTAATTAAGGATTTACCCTTAATTTTACGATATGAAATTAATTACCTTCTTGTTTTTTAGGTGCTCGGAGCTTTTTGGTACTTTTTTTCTATACAACGAGAGACATCATGTTGGCATCGGACATGCAAAAACCCTAGTATGAGATGCATGAGTAGTACTTTTTACTGTGACAATAGTACTACCCCAAGAATCATTGCATTATCTCTGAATGAATCTTGTCCCATAAATGTTACTGCAAATACTACACCGCCGTTTGATTTCGGAATATTTCTTGATTCCCTTCAATCTGGAAACACGGCGTCGTTGGATTTTCCGAGCAAGTTCTTCTACTCGTTTTGGTGGGGATTGCGAAATTTAAGGTTGGCAATTCATCAACAACGAATTATGTAAACATTTATTTTATTTTGTCACATTTCTTGATCATCCTTTGGATAATTTTTTTTGCAGCAACTTTGGCACAAATCTGAAAACAAGTACTTATGTGTGGGAAAACTTGTTTGCAATTCTTATTTCTATCATTGGATTACTCCTATTTTTATATCTCCTAGGAAATGTACAGGTTGGTATTAAATTTCTGAGTTTATTTATAAGTGTTTTTAAAATGATTGAAAGTGTTTTTAGAAAAAAAAATATATTTTGAGTTTCCAAAAAGCACTTGAAGTGCTTTCTGGAGGAAGCAACAGTAATGTACTTTTTCCACAAAGCACTTCAAGTGTTTTTCCAATATTCACTTGCTTTTGACCAAGATAGGTTCCAAAAATATTTTCACTAAAAATCTTTCAGTCATTTTAAAAATACTCGCTCTCTTGTTTTTCCTTAAAATTTTCATTTAATGTCCTTCCTGATTAGGATTTATTTTCAATGTGTGATGTGACAACATGTGTATCAATTTTTTTTTTTTTTTTTTTGGTGTTTAAATAGAATTACCATAACAAGTATTTGTTGTGTGACGTACATACAGACGTTTATGCAATTGGCAACTACAAAGTCGGAGGAGATAAGACGGAAGATTAAGATGAAAGAGCGACAAATAGAAGAGTGGATGGTGAAAAATGATCTCCCAGAAGATTTGGAAAAAGAGATCAAGAAAAACATAAAACAAAAACTGAAAGAAAACAAAGATGCTGATCTGGAGAATCTGTTCTCCATTCTTCCTTGGTACACCAAGAAACCCCTAAAGCGTTTTCTCTTCATGAGTACCCTAAGGACAGTATGTGCAACCTCAACCCCTCTTATATCTTTACATGATTAATAATCTATGTGATGCGATTAATTAGATATGATTAAGCTAATATGCATGCATGCATATAACATGTATAGGTACCAATGCTCAAAGAAATGGATGAAAAAGTGTTGAAAATGATCTGCGACTATCTGAAGCCAGTGTTGTACGACGAGAATACCTTCGTTATTCGAACAGGAGAACTTCTCGATCGGATGATCTTCATTACGGAAGGGTTTATTTGGACTTATGTGGGCGGTGATCAGAGTCGACATGGTGGTGGATCATCATCGGGTTCTCAATCCTCTTCAATGCCAACCAACACGTTTAAGAAAGGCTTGTTCTACGGCGAAGAGCTTCTCTACTGGGCATCATCTCCGTCCCATCTTCCTATCTCCGCCCAAACCGTCCAATGCCATACAAAAGTCGAAGCTTTTGTTCTTATGGCCAAGGACTTGACAAGTATAGTCTCCAAATGCTCCAAATGTGCATTGTGGCGGGATTCAAACAACATGAACCACAGTAGCAACAACAACAATATTAACGTTACTCATCATGGACAGCCCTTACTGAGTGGCATCGAGAGCTCTACAAGCTCGACGCCAAGAATCCGGTATCTCAAACCCGCTGTACGCCCCCATTAGTCCTCCTGCACGTCCCATGTCCATGTACCTTATGAACAACTGTTCACGACTGTAGTTGCACTTTTTTAGCGTTCTCTTTCTCCTGTTTTGGTCAACGTGGCATGTCTTTGAATTCTCTCATTGCATTGTTTAATGGGAGGAACAGAAAGGTCTAATATGGCCCATTGGGCCTGGTTTAAACATATAGATTACAAGAAAGTGGGTTTCGTTGTAAGTTGGCCCATTGGACCTATGAGGAAATAGTTTTTGTTTTGATGGAAGACACAATCTATCATAATCCTAACTAATTTTCCCACATGCCGTTACAACTTGGGCTAACCCTAAACGTAAATCCAAAAGTCGTTATGTTATTAGCACACTAAAATAGTATTAGAATGCAAAATAATTATTCAAACCTAAACCCTAAGCCCTGAACACCTACATGAGAAAATCGGAATTTTGAGTATAAAGTATAAAACCATAATTTAAAGTCGGATGCATAATTATTTGATCACCATAGTAAAATTTCCAATAACATTAATGTCAAATGTCCATATCATCCACAATTATTGAAATCCCACCAATGCCTCTAAAGGAAGAGCTTACCTATTTTCTAGTTTTCCATTTGCTACTCAAGCAACCGTTGTCTCTACTAATAACTACTTCTCGCCGATTTGTCCTGCCGGCGTTGAAGATTCACGTAGCGCACTCACCTCCCTTCTCAAGAAAGCAGGCAACGCAAAGGCAGCTGAGTGCATCTGCCAAACAAACAATTATTTTGCTTTACAAGTATATCTAAAGCAAACGAAAAAGATGCAAATACAGCAGATTGCTATGTAAGCTGAATCAGGAAATGACTCCTACCTCGGAGTTATAGAACTTGAGTTCTCTCTTATGTTTGAGAGCTCCTTCTAACTTCTCAATAGAATTGACGGGGTTTTTGAAATCAACGGGAGGCCCCGCTGTCGAGCACAACAGAAAACCTATCACACCACTGCATGACAAGTAATCTCACAAGTAAGAATGATTTCATTATATCAATACAACTTCACACGGAAGCTCAAGACTTCTTTTCTATGCTAAAAACTTGTAAATATATGTAAAGGTTGAGAGCGAGAGAGTAGATTAATGCGAGGAAAGGAAACTGCAGTGTTACCTTGGATACGTGGGAACACTCGCCCAAGCATATTCGACAGACCCCTTGAATGTTTGATGGCAAACAGAGATCATATCTTGAATAAGATGTGTATGGAGCCACATGCTCTCTGCCATGTTACAGAGAACACCACCAGGCCTTAATGCTCTAGCTATTGTCTCAAAAAATGGCTTCTCTACAAGCTCTTGGGCGGGACCTGCATCCAAAGAAAACCGTACATTTAAGCACTAGATTTAGAAACCTTGTTATGAAAAGTCTTTATATTGCATATCGAGATCAAGCAAGGGAGATAAGGAGGAGGGGGGCACAGAAAAGAAAGTAACCAGAAACAAACATGTCATCTGTAATATTTATACGAAAACCACAGCAGACAAAGACATCTTTAGATGCTCACAAATCAATTCAACAATAATTTGAAGTCAGCCAGCCAATAAGTGCACGGCAAAACTATTGTAAAAATTAAAAACATACCAACAGGGTCTGACGAATCAACAATTACAGCATCATACTTCCCTTCAGGTGCAAGCCTTAAGAATTCAGTAGCTGTCATGGATTCAAAATGAGATATAATCCAAATACAAAGTCAATTTGACATTAACAATTTAATCAACAAATAGTAAGTATTAAACCTACCATCAGCGATGTGAAGGTGGACGCGAGGGTCCTGAAATCCAACAGCTAACTGAGGAAAAAACTTCTTGGACACCTACAAAAAGCCAAACAAAAGAAATTAGTTAGTCATCTCATATTCTTAACATAAAATACATGGAGGACCTTACACCACTTACATCAATAACCATCTTATCTATCTCACATATATCAATATGCTCAACAGAAGGATGGCGAGAAACCTCCCTAAGAACCGCACCATCACCACCGCCAACAACCAGAACCTGCACAAAAAATCATATAAGGCGATATAAGAAAACAAAAACAAATATATGAAGGCAAAATGCTTCTCATTTCCAGCACAAAAGTAAATCAAACTGCAATCACCAGGCTGTAACCAAGTCAAATTATTATAAGGATGTGGGTTTTGAATTCATACTAACACTATTTCACATTCGATGCCCTATTCTTTGCCGAACAAGGAAACTGGTTCACAGAGCAAATGGTCATCTACAGGATAACTGCTGCCAAATCCACTCGCAGTGTGACAGAGTAATACCATTGTGCAGATATGGCTACAAAATCATTGCATCCAAGTCCAGCCAACATGAGGTAGATAGCTACAATTTTAAGAGCTAAACACTATATCTGATGCCTGGCTCATAAGTCATAACTAACAAGGGATCCCAAAATGTATAGATAACCTTTACAATTCATAGTAAGGTCAGCAACATGACCATGAGCTCACCTATTCGGGTTCAGTTGACCATTACCATCTTAAGCTTCCCATACAATACCCACTGAAACTACTGAATAACACCAGAACATGCAAAAGAAAAGTGCATGAAGAACATTCAAACTCTATTCAAATCCCAGATAAATTACTTTACTTTTGGAAATAAACGCTAAAAATTGATCTTAATCTAGTTATACGATCTATTCTCATGGTCATGGGTGATTGTTTGATCAAGAGATTCAGACCTTAAACACGCACAACAAAAAACACAAGGGATGGATCATGTAAAATTACTGTCTTGGGGGAGGTAATTGAACAAAGAGGTAGATGTGCTATCATCTCCTGGTATGCACATTCATCTTTCTCACTCAGCTGGACAAGGCCATCAAGAACAAGCACCTTTCCATATATTGAGGACTGCATAAAAAGGAATTCACGTCATAAATAAGAACAAAAGAAGGAACACAAGGTAGATAAACAACCAAATTCAACTGTCTTAACACAAAAATGACCAACCTCAAACACCAAAATCTCTTGGAACTCTGATTTTCCCCTATACAGAATATTTTCTACTTTCAGTGAATGAGCTTCACCTGAAAAAATAATAATAATAATAAAAACAAAAATGAAAACCATCAAACACAACTAGATGCACGGAAACTATTTCAAGTTAGAGGTGCGAAATTTCAAAAAGGAGTATTTTTATTGGAAGCAAAAAAGTTTAAAGAAGCACTACTTTAAATGGTGAGAAAAAGAAAGAAGAAGACAACAATTACCAAAAGCTTCAACAAGTTACCAAATGAAATTCAGACCATGGAGTTGCCAATACAAGATATCGATGAAACGAAAAAAGCTACTCCGTTCCTTTTATCTTTCCTCATTACATGAAAACATTGTAAATTTGACAAAGGGTTCCTCTAATGGACAAGTTTTCCTAAAGTAATACTGAGAAATAAAGATCACAAAATAAGCAAGAGATCATGACCAGCAATAAAACTTTGCAACCTCAGTCAAGAACACAATAAAGGGATCTTGATCCAGACGTCAAAAATGAAACATGCGTTGTGTGGTATATAAAAAAACTACAATTGAGAACATGAAATGTGTGGATGCGTACAAGTGCATACCTGGCCACATCGGGTTGTTGAAATAAAGCTTTTTACAAGCCTTCTCTGCAATTACAAAAAATAAAAGAAAGTTTCAAATTATACAAACAACCAACAAGAAGTCCATTTACAAAGGTGAAAAATCATAGATAATGACCAGAGCGAGACTGGGATTCTGAGAACCACCCAGAAACAACAGTAGGATGACATTTTGCCTCCGGCTCAGGGATAGAAGCCCTAGCCTTCAAGCAACAAGAAGGGATGGCCTTCTCCGAACCACTCCCGTTACTCGCCTTCCCATCCATAGTCTTCTGGCATTCCAAACCTCTTCCTGCGCCTCCCTCCATATATTATCTTTTTCTTATCCGTCTCCAGTCTCTAACAATCAATACACACTCATAAGTAAAATATAGCGGAAAAAACACATTCGCAATGAAAACCATCTGCAAGAATTAAAAAAGGATTCTTCTGTCACAGCACAAACGCACTCATGTTGCACAAAGTTAAAGCATCTGTCTTGAACAATCAGATTAAAACAAACAATGTTAAAACAAATGGCATACCAGAAGAACTATCACAAAAACTATTCCAAGCTTAAAGGGTTTAAGCTAAAGCATCCGGAATTAAAAAAATGTAAAGTTTAAAACTTTTTGTTTAAGTAAGCTTGATTTGCACATAGAATCTTCCTATTAAAGCAGGAAGGATTTGACTTAAATCAACATCCACAATCAATGCAATATCTTTTCCAAACTAAATCACATCACAAAATTCACAACACAAGCTATTAATCTACTAACTAAATCATGAATTTCTATCACACACCACCACAAAGAACAAAAGAATCATCTGAAGCTATTTAATTTATCTACTGGGTCCCAAATAATTTTTTTATTACCACGAAGCCTTGGCGGAAAACCGAGAGTAGTGCGTTCTAGATTTATACAGCCGACTGCAGACTCTATTGCATTAAAAAAGAACTAAATTTCTGAATAGTACCAGACTAGTTCCAGCATTACCTCAGCAACAACTACCACAACTTATTATTTTTAAATTTTCCAGTCAAACGCCGCAGAGTTAAGTCCTAACCACCGTCAGACCTAACACTGAATAAAGAAAGTATTACCCACCCAGAGAATCCCAAAAACACTTCAGAAATCAGGTCCCCTGTACCAACGAGTACCAAAAGCAAAAGAAGGGAAATTAAAAGATAAATGAATTAAATTGATATATTCATTGTTGTTTTCTCTCCTGAAATTCTGTTTGGCTGCTGAGAAACCTTTCGAGCAAAAGGAAAAAAAGGCCTACGTTTCATTTGTTTCAGCAATCAACAGAAAGTAAAAGTTTTTTTTCCATTTCTCGGCCACAACTTTCCCGGGAAACAACAAAAGCCTAGGGTTTTAAGCCATTAGCAAAAGAGGGTTCCCAAAAGCGAAGGCCGAGAGGGTGAGAATATCACTCTGCTTATACAAAATTAGGAAAACTAATCAAAAAATAAAAAAATGGGAAAATTAAGATCAAAAGAAACCCACATTTTTCTACAAAACTTGCAGAGCGGCAGAGATTAAATAGAAAGAATGAGGGAACGTACAGCAGGTCGTTGAGATGTAGAGAGAGAAGCAGAAACCAGAGATATATATTTAGAGAGAGAGAGAGAGAGAACGAGAAGGGTTGGTCTTGCCTGGGGTTGATCACAAATTGGGTTTTCGTGATGATTCAAGTGAGCGGGAAACGAAAATTAGCACAAACTGTTTTTATAGCCACACTCGCACTCTCGCTCTCTCTCTCTCTCTCAGAAGTCTGTCGATAAATCTTTGCTCTGCCTCCTTCTGGTTCTCTCTGTTAACTTCGGTGTGCACGAGGACGCCGACAGAGACCAAGTATTTATACTACTTTTTCTTTATTATTCTTTAAAAAAAATATTATTTTTGTTTTTTGAAATTACAAATTTTGCAGGTGATGCTTCCATGTGTCGTATGTGGTACGTAAAGAACTTTAACTTAAAAAAATTGTGTTCGAATTACAGTCATAGACTTTTTTTACTTATGATTAAAACTGTTAATAGTATGAATTGCTTTGTAAAGATGAATAAAAAATAAAATTATTTAGTCGATTTATTATAGCAAATATATAAACAATTCATAATATTTATGTCAATTTTATTCTTATGTTTAAAACAATTCAACCACCAAATGGCCTAATTTTAATCGATTTTTTACAAATGTTATCTTTATGGAGTTATATATAATATGAACAGTTTTTATCATAAGAAAAATGCCTACTCTTCAAGTAGCGAAATAGTATTCATACAAAAATATAATCTCTCTAATATTTTCAATGTTATAATACAAATCTAACAATTCAAATCGTTTATTATTAAATTTACCATTTCAATATCATAAAATCGAAAATCATATCTTCATCGATATGTATCAAATATACGAAGAATCCATTTATAAGAATCTTAATCATCTTTTTTGGCCTCTCAATCTGGACTAGGGACCTTATGTCCTTTGTAAGGTTTGTTTAACTTTTCAGAGTTTATCTGCAACTTTCTAACATGTGACGTTTCTTCAAATCCTCCCAATTTAGCTTAGTTTCAACTTTCAAGTCCTATTTCTTACGCGGTCGGTGTGAGGAGTGAAAACGTCAAGTTCGGTTTTGAACATACTACCAAATTCACACAAAATCTTTCTTTGATCATGTGGTTCTGGTGTCGACTGAAGGAAATGATTTAATATGGAGATCGGCGTGAGTTTTACTAAAAAGTTAAATAGTCGATTAATTTAGTACGTAGATGGAGTTTTACCTCAGTAGCTAAAGATAATATTGATTAATATATATTGGTACGGATTCGATCCCTTTTGATTCTCTTTTCCTTTAATATTTAATAATTTAACTCACTAAATGTCCAAAAAAATGAAAACATACAAAAGGATGTCCAAATAAATGTAATTAATTTTTGTTGTGATCTTTTTTTTTTTTTTTTTTTTTAACACACGATGTTATCTACACAAAGAGAGAGGGGGAGTAGGCTTAGCCTCATAATGTCCTAGCAATAATATGGTACAAATTCGCTTTTGGCGAGAATTGAACCTAAGACCTCTCACTTACAAGTGAAGAGGAATATTACTAGACTGTAATACTAAGTGACAATTTGTGTTGCGATCTTTAAAAGACGATTAAGAACTAAACAATTTCGACTACAAAGTTTGTACACTGAAAAACATTGGTCGCAACTAGTTGAACAACAATCGCAGTTATATAATGAAGCTAGAATTGCACATATGAGAAATGTTAAGAAGACTCTCTTATAAATGAGACTTTCCATGGACTCTCTGCAACTTCATGTTTTTGGCATAATGTTGGCATGAAAATTAACGTTAAACTGTGAGGTAAGAGGGTTCATAGAGAGTAATCTCCTTAGCATTTCTCTTGCATATATATTTTGGCACATCATAGCCATTTAATCCAATTTTATTGTAACGACAGAGCGGGAAAATAGGTCAAATCGTGATTCTCATTACTTACAAATGGCTAAATTTTGTGCGCTAATTCTCATTTGATTAGCGAATGATGTTGATTGTTCATTGACTAATAACGTTTTTCCTCTCGTGGAATGTCATAATCTTATCTTTCCCACACGTAATTTTCTCAAATTTTTTAGTGATAAATCATAAAACTGTACTTTTTTTTTTAAATCAAAACAATACTTAATTATAGGGTAAAAGATATTGGTGGACAACATGTTGCTCTTGCATAATTTGCTAAGTTTGGTCTTCTTTTCCTCTAATTTGACAAAGTGCTTAGTTACACCACAAGTTGCTCAATCGTGTGCGTGTTGCATAATAACAAAAATATTGATCATCTGCCCTCTTATTAGTTAGAAGTTAGATTTAATGGTAGTTAGCAATTGTTTTATACATAATTAGGATTTCTTTATGCATGGCGTCAAGTCTTTCTTAAAGAGATAAGTGTTGTGCAAATCTCATTATTGACATTGTTGGTTGTTTTAGGGTTTAAAGCATCATTTAAGAGCTTTGATATTGGTTTTCTACATATTAGATTGGTTAATCACCTCAGTTAATAAAGGCTCGTTTGATAACTATTTCGTTTATAATTTTTAATTTTCACTGTTTAAAAAGCTGAAAATTGAAACCTTTCTTAGTAACTAATTTCATTTTTCTAATTTTAAAAAATAAAAATAAAAACTAAAACCGAAAAGTGAAATCCTCAAGGCCAAATTTTGAAAACTCAAGAAATAGTGAAACTGAAGACGACATAATTATCAAGCAGCCCTAAGTAGATCAACATTGAACAACATTGAGTTTTTTTTTTTTTTTTTGACAAACGATAGTATCTACACTAAAGGATAGAAAAGTAGGTCTCACAATAAACTAGCAATAATGTGGTTTAATTTCACCTTTGGCAAGAATCAAACCTAAAACTTCTCTTACAAGTAAAGAGGAATACCACATAAATCGTAATACTAAGTGGCTTGAGCAACATTGAGTTGAAAAAGTTTTGTATGTGTATAATTTACGTATAAATAAACTTGTGGTTCATGCTGAACATTATCGTTCGAGTCTGGAAACATCGAGAGAGAGATATTTCTCCATTCAATCTTCCATCATGTATGTTAAACAGCGTCCACGTGAATATCTAATTAAATTTGTCGGCACTGAGGATTCTAGCTAGCTTTTGATTCATCCATTCTTGTCTCGCTATACTGTCGGTTCCTTCAATTAGTGCCTAAAATCAAAAGGAAACCAACAACGTACGGACTTCAGCAATTATATAAATAGAGGACAGCATTATTTTTGCATGCATGTGAAACTTATCACAGACTTCACAGTTTATTGTAATAGTCTGTGCACTGCTAAATCTGTATATCTTACTGGACTTACCAAGCACCAGGTATTTTTCCATTCCTACATTTAGTCAATTATCAAATATTTTGAGCAATTCATCTTAATTAACAATACTTTTACTTCTATCTTCGGGTTTAGGGTATACCAAGATTTATTGTTTTTGGTAGCAAAAATAATGTACGATAACCTGGTGGGTACATTTTTGCTCGTGGTCAAGTAATAGTAATGCTCATCACCATGGGTGGAGCTACCTTGGCCAAGGGGGTGGATGCCCCCACTCATTTTTTGTGAAAATGTGTACTTTTCTAGTTGCTTGTGACATTAGCATCAACTTTTCTATGTGCTACTATCATCGTTGAAAGAGCATTTTCAGCAGTGAAATTTCTGAAGATCGATTGAGAAATTGGATGGGAAATCAATGGATGAAAGATAATATGGTTATTTTTATAGAGAGAGATATTTGAAGGTATAGGTAATGAATTTGTCATACAATGCTTTCAAAACATGAAACGCGTCGAGAAATGTTGTAATATGTTGTATGAAAAACCTTATAGATTAATATATAAGTATTTCGTTTTGTACATTCTTGAGCTTTTTAATTTGTGAGTGTTGTTTGAGGATGCCCCCATTCATGTAGACATTTGACTTCATCCCTACTCACTAACCTACTTATTACCATTTGATGAGTTTAAATTTTGAAATTTGTGTCGATCCACTACATGAATCTCAAAATTTAAACTCATCTAACGATAATAAATAAGATAGAGAACATCATTATCACTTGAGGGTGATAAGTAATAATAAAGTAATTAGATATGCACACAACTCCTTAATTGACAAACAATTAGTAGTTTTTTGCTCGCTTTTCTTATAGTGGGTGCTACTGCTAAGGGTGTATATATAAACCAAAAACGAAGAAACTCCTTGTGCTTTTTACTTTGGTACGTGCTACAGGACCATTCGTTTGAGGTGGAAAGACACTAGGGTTTCATAAAAAAAGAAAAAAAAAACACTAAAAATGGTGGTGCTTGGTTGTTTGTTATTTAAGTATTTCTGTCAAATTTTTACTGGTCTCTTTCATAATCAATTCCAATTCGGATACACGTTTCTCTTTTTGAAATATGTCCTTGTCATTTAGGGTTTCTAGTCCATTTACAACGTACAATGGTGGTTGGATATAGCCATCAGCCTAAATGATAAGCTTTCTCGCTTTTATTGATTAAGCAGGATGTATATAGATATGGGGGATAAGCTACATTTTCATCGGCAAATTAAGCAAAAGATGAGTCACTCTTTCAACATGTGTATTAAGAATCAAGAAAAGCGCCTATCGAAATCATACCAAAGAATGATAAATAAAGATGTCATTGCAAAGTACAAAAGTAATTTTAACGCTATGCGTACATCTTTTTTCTTCATATGTTACGATTGATACCAAATCTTGCACCATCTCTTAAAGAGACTTTGGAGCACTGGAGTTCTCTCTAACAGAACTGATTCTCGGTGACAATATACTCGTAGTATAAAAGTCTTTGTCAAAGTATGACCAATACTAAGTACAACGGACTTTAATAAACCATTAAAGAATGGCAACCACAAATCCATGACACCCGTCCTCATACGTCGAGAATAAATTACAACATCAAAGGCTTCAATTGATTACGTGATTATCACTCATCAACCTTCTTACATACAATTGATGTGGCAAATCTAAAGTCTTGACTCTTGATATGGGATCGGTAATTTTCTAATCACCAAGTAATTTATTAGATAAGGATGTGGGAAAGATGACTAGAAAAGGTTTTCAAGTAACACGCGGCATAATATTTAAATGAGTGCAGAACATTAGGTAGATAAAGGACAATATTTTCCGGTGGATGCCGTAGTAGAGTAGAAAAAGGTGTTTATGCACTTCTTAATATATAAAAAAGGGTGTGCATATTGTTATGTTAAACAAGCATGCACGTAAAGTTAAATCGTAAGTTCATAAAATAAAGAAGGAAATCATTATTCCCTAATCACGAAATGCTTCTTCTTTTCAAAAGGTTGGGGAGTTTGGTTTCTCTCACATCTCATGATCATACCCAAAGTTGATATTTCATATGGGAATTAACTTGGCTCCTCAATGAATGAGGAGAAGTTCCTCCTTAAATTACTATGTACGTAGCCGATTCACAAAACTTTTTGCTTATGATCGGAAGCAGTCATATTATAAATCATTATACAAAGACCATCTTTGCAATTAATTAAATATGAGATTGTATAAATCATCAAACTATATAAAAACATACGAACGAATTTGATAAATGAATTAAAAATGGTATATCTATTTACTACAACTGATTAACTAAAAACCTTGATTTTTTGTTAAAGTAATTTTTATAGAATAATTTATAATATGAACTGTTCTTATTATAAGTACAAAATTTTATAAACCGTTCACTTAATGAATTGAAGAGAAACTCCTACTCAATCTTGAGGAGCCAAGCCTCTCTATTTCATATATATTTGTAGTTACTATTCAATTGAGCATCTTTATTTATGCGTCAACAATCTGTTGGTGGATAAAAGGACTACACCCTATCTGAAAATTCCACTTCCCCTATAAACCCCAAAAATAAAAAGTAGATGGAACTTGATGACCTCGGTTGTGAAAAGCAACCATACTTACTAATACACTTCAATGCGACTTCAATCCCTCTCTTTCTTTACAACTTAATCTACTAACAATATCACTTGTCCAGAAAAAACAAAAAAAAAAGATAAAACTAACCGAAGCCATTGTAAATTGCCCTTTATTAGGATGTACTAAAGGGCTTATATATACTCTCTTATTACCCCCCATTAATTTAAACAGCACAGATTCTACGATTCTAACACAAATGAATTAGTATCGGAATAATGAAACAGCCAAGAATGATCGACACATACATATATAAGCTTCAATTACCCAATTAACAAAGGAATTATGTAACTTCAAATTCGAATGTGTAAAGGGGTAAAGAATAATATGAGTTAACTTATGAAAACAGTATATTTACTGAAAAAATAAAATGCATGCTGGCTAGCTGGCTAGCTGGTTTTTGTGAGGTCGACGACAATCACACTAATGTTATCTCTGCTTCCCCGAGCCATAGCTAGGTCAGCCAAGACTGCTGCTGCCTCAGATGTGCGACTCCGGACATTTAGGAGAACCCGATGTTCGTCATGAATGGAAACTCTCCTCATTCGGCCACGAAGACACTTCTTCACCACCTGACATGCTACGTCGTTTGACATAACATCCCACAGTCCATCACTGGCAAGGATGAGGAATTCATCCTGGTCGGTTCGTTTGGTCACCGTCACCTCTGGTTTTGATATCACATATGGCCTCAGGTAATGGTCACCTGCACCCCGAATTAATTTGAAAAATCACAAAATCAGTGAGGTGTACTAGCAAAGTTTCTATATTAATCCGATACTCTTGTGTATTTTGAAAATTAAAGCAAATTAGCAAGCGGCTCTTTACTACAATAATAGAAAAAAGTTGAGTCTTTACATGACGGCGTGGTTTGAACCCTATTGATAGTTAATCTAACATCTAATCTAACAAAATCAAATCTATCATTTGCCCAAAAAAAAAAAAAGAAAAAAAAGCTAATTAACCTAATGCAGGTGAATGTTAATTTAGAACTGTTTAAAGGTGACATTGGTCATTCACTTGAATTAGGCTCTCTCTATTTGCTTTGTCTAATTAATAGCAAGGATATTATTTGGCCCGAGATACCTAGTGATTTTATTTGTAATGCCCTTATTGGGGATGGTTGTTAACTTATACAAGATTAGGGTTCATGTCCCGCTGTTTGTATAATGTACGTACCTATTGATCTGGAAGTGGCGAGCACACCGAGTACACGGTTTCCGTTCCAAGTGATGACCCTTCCACCCGCAGCTTCAATTCTCTTCAACTCATCAACTCTGTCAGGCTTATATATGCACGTAGAAATTATGAAACGTTGTATGAACGGAAAAAAAAAGTGTTCAGCTAGCGTAATAAGATTTTCGAGCAGCCATAAATGGTATTTGGTTAAACCTAATCATTTAACTTAATAATAAGGTACATAAGGCGTTAAAGAAGACTTGTAGCTCAAACGATTAAGTTCATTCATTCTTGCATACGAAATCATGAGTTCAATTTCCTCCTTCGGCCAGTATTGTTGGTTACAAACTACAGTGGACAAAGTTAATTCTCTTCCGATTGTTCCAAATACTAATTACTTAGGGCTGGTTTGGTATTGCTGTACTTTAAAAAAAAAAAAACTGTTTCTGCAATGCTGTGAGAATAAGCAACTGTGAAATAAAGCAACAGAGTGTTTGGTAAACCATTTTTGTAAAAGTGCTTTTGAAAAAAAAAAAAAAAAAACAGTATTACAGTGTTTGGTAAATTTTTATGTAAAACAGATGTGAAAAAAAATCGATTTTTCAAAGCTGAGTTTTGCAACTTCTTATTTTTGACTTTTTTCACCCAAAACTGTGAAAAAAAACTAAAACTGAATATTTACCAAACACAAAACAGCTCTCAAGCTTTTTTTTATACCAGCTTTATTCAGAATCACGTACCAAACCACCCAAACCAGGCCTTAGTCTAATGTTATTCTTGCTACCTGCATCACATATTAACTACCCCTAATTTTTTCAACAATATATATTTTTGGAGTATATTTTCTGTCTTCCTTTTCAATTTTATAGCCAATATTATGCAATTTCCACTCAACAAGGTATCCTTATCCTATATATATGTAATATGAATTTATAATAATTACAAAATCTGGAACAAATTGTTGGCATGAGTCACATATATTTGGGCCTAATTTGCCCACATTAATTAGGGTTTGTTTTTTTTTTTTTTGTTGGATAGTTAGAATAATGCTTTGGAGGTGAGCTCATTCACAATCATTCGAAACGAAGTTAGAGAGATACATATATAAAGTTTGTTAATTACGCACCTTATGATCATTGGACAAGGCCAAGGCAACACCCCCTCTTGACAAAACAGCCCTAGAATCACCACAATTGGCCACCACCACCTGCTCCTCCGTCACCACCGCCACCACCGCTGTCGCCCCAATCATCCTCGCCGCTGCAATATCCCTCACCTCCCCATCTATTTTACCAAAACACTCATCCATCACCGTCTCCCAATCAATGGCATCACCTTTGTCATCATTTTTACTTATAATCGCTTCCATTTCCACCGCCTCTGCCACCACCTCATGCATCCTCTCCCTACAAGCCCCGGCCACGTCGGGCCCACCGTGCCCGTCATACACCCCGTAAAAGTCAAATTTCCCAAACCCTACCTCCACTCTCACCGCATCTTCCATTTCCTTCCTCATCCCCTTCACAGATACGACGCCGTACCCTCCCCTCGCTTCCAAACCCTCACTATCCCTTTTCCGTCCTCCTTTATCTGATCCGGCCACGGACCCAGTAGACAACACGACTTCGTTTTCCGATGCCGAAAAAGACACCGACATCATCTCCATCGAAGCCCCAACATCTTTCTCTTGTTTCTTCAGCTCCAATGACTTAGGATCTTCTGGAGCATGTTTCTGCTCGTCGTCACCGGTGATCTTCACCTGGATATTCTTCGTATGACACGTGTACTTCAGTCGCCGGACTCCGAGTCTCTGTCGCCGAGCATTCTTGGTTTCGATGACGAAGCTCTGTCGTCTCATCTTTTCATTCATTCTACCGCCTGAAAGTGAAGGGCTACTTTTCTTCTCTTTTGGAAGAAGAAGGGCTTCTTTTCAATTGCATGAAAAAGCTGAGAGACGTAGACCAGCTTCTAATTTCAGCCGTTGATTATTTATCCGCCGTCGGATGATCGCCAGGCGTGTTTATGCGGACCACTGGCTTGGAACTTTGAGAGAGACGTGGACGGTAGGATGCGATCCAGGACGCGTGGCGCGAAGGAGGTGCCGTTATTGATTCTTGATTGGCTACGAGATCTTTTGGTACAGAAGGGGCCCACAGGAAAATGTGTACGTGGCGAGTGGTGAGGGGATGCGGTGGTGCCTCTCATTACTTTCTCGGGCGTTTCGGCTCGCTGACAAGAATGTTGACTTGTGAAAGACGTAGCAACACGTGTCGGATTTGGACCTCGTACTATGAGTTATTGACGATTGTCGTGTCTGGTTTTTATTGGTTCAAATACTTTTATTTATTCAGAACACGCACTCATCCATTGAAATTTCGAAAATTAACAGAACTGGGAGCAGTTCATCGGCAAGCACTCTTTTTTAACTTTTTATTCATTCTTCTTCAATTCAGAGAAATATGTAAAATATAAAAATAAATGTGTAAATAACATAATTATATAATGATATATGCAGATAGACACATAAATAATTTTGTATTATCGAAGCAAAATGTTATTATGACGATAAAATCATTTCATGTAAATTTTTCGTTATACTATGTGATTTCTGATTTTTTATTACTGTTATGTCATAACTATAGTTTTGACAATGACTACAATGACTTAAAAACTCCAAGTACAAAGCACCTTAAAGTATACTAAAAAATCTCCAAAAATTTTGTTGTGTGAAAATAAATATATAAAAAATCGAATTATTTTTCAAAGAATGAAAATAATCACATGGTATAAAAAGCTAAAATTGTGCAAGTCTGCAAATGACTTGTAACTCAATTAGTTGAGATTATTCATTCTTAAGGTCTCATGTTTGATTTCACCTCTTCATAATTTTGATGAATTAATGTAAATTATCTTACAGTTTGTCAAAAATAAAAAAAAATTGTGCAGGCCTCTTCAACTCTTGGAGTAAAACCTAAATTTTTTGTTCAGAAAATTTAAGTTTTAACCCAGAAATAGTTTTATGCTCCAACCCTTATGGCCTCAAATTTTAACCCCAAATTATTAAAAAATGAATTTAGGCTTTTTTTTTTTAATTAACTTTAAAAAAAAATTATGTAGACTATCTTAAATTAATTTTATGAACATTTTAACCTAAAAATATTTAAATTCCGATAAATATTGAAAAACCAATAAACCAACACTATGAAACTCATTAAACATTATGAAAGAATATGAAATGCATGAAAGAATATGAAACACTGGTACGTACAAATGTTTTTGTAAGATGGTAAAGAAAAAAATTGGAAGAATTGTAGGAGAAAAGTGAATTTTGTGTGGATGTTTGAATAAATACATAGGTATTTGTAGAGTTTTTTTAGTGAAGTTTGAGTTAAATTATTTTTTAAAATTATTTTAACCGTTGGATTTAATTATATTAGATCTCAACAGTTGGATTCAATAAATTTATAAATATAAAACAAAAAAAATTTAAAGATGAATTTGGGCCGTTGGATTAGTCAACGGTCCAAAGATCCAAACCGTTGGATTAAATCAAAGAGTTGTTAGGCTCTCAATTCTTGCTGACAAGCCCTTCTATTTTGTAGACATGGCCACATGCATGGGACCTAGCATGTCTGGTTTGGAAAAGTTTTTTTTTTTTTGGGGGGGGGGGCGGCGCGTGAGATTGAAACAGGCACGTCAAATCCCATGTAGGTGGGCCTTTATTGGGCACGTTCAGTCGCACCAGTGGGGTTAAAACCTAAAAGCTAGCTGGTATTTGAACCAACTCAGGCACGTCAAATCCCATGTAGGTGGCCTTTATTGGGCACGTTCAGTCGCACCAGTGGGGTTAAAACCTAAAAGCTAGCTGGTATTTGGCCCAATTTTGAGTTTTAACTCAAAATCAAATTTTAGGCCAAGGGTTGAAGTGAAATGGGATGGGTTTAGAAGCCAAATTTTGAGACTTACTCCAAAGATTGGAGTTAGTCTGAACACCTTATAAGGACATGTTATGTTACATATATTGTTGAGAATTATACATAATAACGTGAGAACGATGTTTAAACTAGTCAGATATAGAGCATGAAACACATATTTTACCATCTCATATTTTACAAGTATCCACAAGAGTATCGTGTCGGGTTTAGAGAGTGAAATACCACGCATTGGATTGTACTAGGGCTTTCAACTTTGCTCTTATGCATTCGTGAAACACATGTACGAAAGAGAATTTTTGCTAAAGTTATGCTTTCCGTTTATAGAGTTTTCAATTGTTTATACAAACAGAGTGAAAAAATGACGTATCATAGCTTGGGTTGAACCGCGTGGAACATGTGGAAGTGCCGGTGTCGATAACATTTTCCCAACTAAAATTTGGCCATGTGAACATAAGTGCTTCTGTCTTAAGTATGGTACGACCGATCTGAATTCAATGAGATGACAAGAGGTGATCTCACTGGGCCATGCAGTTTAGGAAGGACCAAAACAACGATTTACAGTTACTTACGAGGAACCGACGAACTTGATCATATGTCGTGCATCCCATTTCAATGAGGCATGTTGGCCTTCAGAAGAACAAAAAAAAAAAAAAAAAAGCCACTGAAACTCATCAGACTCGCAGACACGAGATATGTATTGGATTAAAGTAAATTTGGTTCTAATTTGCTAAACCACTGAAACTCATCAGACTCGCAGACACAAAATATATGTATTGGATTAAAGTAAATTTGGTTCTAATTTGCTAAATCGTTTTTTTTTTTTTTTGGTCAAATTGTTTTCAATAGATGGATTACATATCACATGCACTCATTCAACTTCTAATCAAAGTAATTAAGTTGGATCATATTAACTGTGATATGCAAAAGTTCTCTGTCCATGGCACACCCATTTCTGCTAAAAAAGGACAAAGAGTCGAAAATAAATTTTGCTCAGATGATGATATTGTTATATTATTAATGACATATTGATAGACAATCTGTACGCTACTTCCCCTCCTCCGGATTACAATGAAATGCGTGGTTTTTTCCCTACTTTCCAAGTTATCTTTTGAGATGGGAAGACAAAAATAGTACTGGCTGTGGTAGTTGGATGGTAGAGGCCTGGTGATTCACTGACTATAAAACTTGAGATGCACGGGTAAATCTAGCACTATTTTCTTCTTTTTTTTGGTAAAGGAAGAAACATAATTTTTCTCCATACAAAAGAAATAGAGAGAACGCAGAAAACAGAAATTACGTACAAATTGAGGGGAGGATGAGCAGAAGATTTTCCAGAAAAATGTGATGGCACGTGCATTAAAGTGTCACGTATGAACTATCAAGATGGATAATTCCGACAGTTAAGGCAAGTAGCATTCATTTGAAGCCATACATCGATGCAATCTGCATGGAAGCAATGTTGGCATTTGAGGATGGTCTTCAATGTCTCCTTGGGCCTGTACGTGGACAAGCATATCGGGCACATGCTGTCGTCAGGCTTTGGTAAGCGCCGGCTTTCGCCGAGGACTATTTTTGGGTAAGCCCTCGAGCCCTGGCTTATCAAGGCGGTGGTGGGCTGCGGAGCCACTGCGGAATTAAATTCAGGAAGAGTTCTGCGCCCCTTTGTGAAAGAGTTGACCTTGCCAAAGACGCAACACAAAACCCCCCAAAACGCACAAGATTCCTGACACACCAACTCCAACAATAATAGCATAGCGTACGCTCCTTGGGATTCCTGATCGAATTAGCAATTCAGATTTAGATTAGATTAAGTTGTTGCAGATGAATAAGAGAAAGTGAAATATAGATTAGACACATGCATATGCAAACACAGCACCCACAATGTTGTGTTCGAGGAGTATTCAAGCTCGGTTGTATAGAAGTTGTTTTAGTTAACTAATTTAACTCAAATTTTATATATATATATATATATATAATCGTAAATTTTGTTGATGGGTCGTAACTCATATCATAAGATAAAAAACTTGTGTAGTAGCATCACCCGTAGGAGATATTGGGGAGGTTTTCCACAGAAGTACAAGACGCTATGTTTTTGGTCCCTCTCAACCCTATATTAATTTTATTAATGTGAGAGCTATTCTAATCAAACAACCGTTAACAATTTTCTCGAAATATAATGCACTAAACAAACTTTCCTAATCAGACTGAATATGTCGAGTTTTAATTACAGGAGATATTACTAATCTAATCTACACTGAAAAAAAAAGAAGTTTGAACTTGAAACACAACTATAAGTCGAAAAGAAAGAATTAATCTAACCACAATCCACCACTTGCACATAATGTCGAGTTTATACAACCATTTCCCAACTCTTTGCGTGTATGGAGGTGTTGACGAAATAGGGTATAGACTTTAATTAGCGGCTGACTCTAATGGGAATAAGGTCAATCTAAACCGAAAGCTATGATGTTATGAACTTATGATTGCAGTGTGGAAAGGGTTGAACGCAGTTCCAACAGAGGAAGACTCTGGTCTCGTTTGAAAGTGTTTTTAAAATGATTAGAAGTGTTTTTGGTGAAATTGATTTTAGGTTCCAAAAACACTTTAAGTGCTTTTTGGAAGAAGCACCAGATATGTGCTTCTTTCAAAATTTACTTGAATTTTTACTAAGAATTAGTTTCAAAAACATTTTCACCAAAAGCACTTTTATTTTTTTTAAAAACACATCCAAACGAACCCTCTAACACTTACAATTCCAACTTTACACTTATCTCCAAAAAATTGCCAACCAATCACAACCTTGGTAAAATCAAATTGTTGACCACGTCCATTAAAATCCGAGTAATGTTATTCATACCATGTTTTTATACTACCTTTCTATATCACCTTAGGTGGCATCTGTAGACTGTCATATCATTTGAAAAATTTGCAAAACCCAAGGAAATGAAGGAGAAAGACTCCTCGTATACCACAATCATCATTTAATTAACTAATTTTTCTTAATTATTAGTTTATTAAATAGGGAAATATTATTGGCACTCCAAAAATCTCATTCTACACTTCTCACAAGTATATTTTTCTTTCCTAATATAGAAAGTTTGGAGTGTAGAATGAGATTTTTGGAGTGCTAATAACAATTCCCATTAATTAATGAATTAAATTTAAAAATCTGATTAATTCAAATGATATGGCTATCTACATCAAATGTCACACGAAGTCACATATGAATAAAACATAGTCAATTCTTAACTATTAATGAAATTAGCTATGCTTTCTTCATTCGACTATATATGCACGCCCGCGATTTTTAAGCATTAACATATCATCAATGGTTAAAAATCACGTACACGAGTAAAAATGAATGCTCGTACCAAAAACTTTTATGCACACACCTCATAATTTGTACTAAACAAGTACTTTGAAAATGAAATTTAATTATATGGGAGATACGGCGGTGGTAAGAGTAAAGAGTCGAACTCAAACAGTATATGGAAGGAACAAATGTTTTACCGGTAAAGCTGTATGACGAAGCATGAGCATGGTGTTTGAAAACTAATAAAAATAGTAGAAAACAACTACAACTAATTAATCACGAGTTAGGAGCAGTAATAAGGCTAATTATTAATCAATTACGTCGTTGCGGAAGTCTTGAGCAAACAACTTGATGACTAGAATTACTCTTCACCCCACACCGGCCACCACGAGTGGCGCAACCGCCGCACCCTGGCCTGTCCCATGCAAAGCCCAAGATGGCTAGTCAGGTCCGACGACATAAACTCCTCGTACGACGGGAATTTAACCGGAATAACAAACGTACCGATTCGATTGCATGTCGATGTAGACGCCAAGTAATTAATCACCCTCGGAGAAGTGGTAGCAAAAACAGTGTAAGTAGAGCCACTCATGCAAGCAATAGGGTTTAATGTGTATTTCAAATAATCCAACGAGCAATTAAAGTAAGTGAAACTTTCATTTGTGACGCCATAAAATGGTGAGCCCAAGAGATTGAGGGAAAAAATTCGTTGTGCGAGGCATTTGTTTGGATCGTTAATCCATATTTCTTGTTCGGCATAGTCTATACCCGGGAGAGCAAACTGTCCAGAATAAGGAAGGGTGAGGATTGTTTGGTTGGTGTTGTCACAGGACAGGTTCAAAACCGGGATAGGAGCATGACTCTGGCCCCTTTTTTTGTATCCCAAACGGCAATTCGATGACCGGCTCGCCGCCGCAAATATACGCCTCCATGCAATTTTCTAAGCTGCTTGCAAGGTATGAGGATGACAAGAAGAAGAGGAGGATGGAGAAGAAGGGCAAGATTACTCTGGGAATATTCATTTTTTTGTGGGGCAACAATTGATGCTTGAAAATTGGAAATTGGAATATGGATAGCAGGGCATACTTCCAATATGTATTGCATTAGATCATAGTTGACTTTATAGAATAAAGGCCAAGTCTTCATTCACTCTTCAATTTTTTTTTATTTTAATATAATTTTAAACTCTGTAGACTAGATTTGATCAAATACAAAGGAGATGATCTTCTATTTTTCGGAGTAATTTTCAGCGTACTAAAAACTCCACCACATAGTATTGTTATTATATATGTTGTAAAAGTGCTATATATGCATATATCAATTGTCGTTCATTCATATTATCCTATAATGTTGCTATTCTACAATGAAATGCCTGTTTTCCTTCCCTACTTTCTCAAGTTATCTTTTGAGATGGGAAGAAAATAATAGTGGCCGTGGTTGTTTGATGATAGAGGCCTGGTGATTCACTGACTATAAAACCTTGAGATACACCGGTAAATTTAGCACTTTTTTCTTTTCTTTTTTTTTTGGTCAAGGAAGAAACATAATCTTTCATCATACAAATAAATAGAGAGAAAAAAGAAAACAGAAATTATGCACAAGATTTTCCAGAAAAATGTGATGGCTCATGCATTAAAACGTCACGTATGAACTATATCACGGTGGAGAATTCCGACAAATAGGGCAAGTAGCGTTCATTTGAAGCCATTCATCAATGCAATCTGCATGGAAGCAATGTTGACATTTGGGGATGGTCTTCAATGTCTCCTTGGGCTGGTACTCGGACAAGCATATCGGGCACGTGCTGTCATCGGGCTTCGGTAAGCGCCGGCTTTCGCCGAGGACTATTTTCGGGTAGGCCTCGAGCCTTGGTTTATCGAGGCCCCTGGCGATGGTGGGCTGTGAAGCCACTGCGGAATTAAACTCAGGCAGAGTTCTGCGCCCCCTTGTGAAAGACTTGACCTTGCCAAAGACGCAACACAAAACCCCCAAAACGCACAAGAGTCCTGGCACTCCAACTCCAACAGTAATAGCATAGCGTGCGCTCCTTGGGATTCCTGATCGAATTAGCAATACAGATTTCGATTAGATTAAGATGTTGTAAACGATTGAAAGTGAAACAGAGATTAGACACATGCATGCAAACACGCGCCCAACCATGTTGGGTTCAAGGAGTATTCAAGCTCGGGTGTACAGAAGTTGTTTTAGTCAACTAACCTAATTCGCATTATCTATACAGTCGTAAATTTTGTTGATGGGCATAACTCATAAGATAAAAAAACTTGTGTAGTAGCATCAAGCGCATGGGGTACTGGGGAAGTTTTCCACAGGAGTACGAGACTATGTTTTTGATCCCTCTCACCCTTATATTGACCTTATTGATGTGAGAGTTGTTCTAATCACAACTATTTACAAGTTTCTTAGAACATAATGCACTAGATAAAACTTTCCTAATTAGACTGCATAATGTCAAGTTCTGATTAGACAGGAGATATTACTAATCTACTCTACCCTAAAGAAAGTAATTTAAACCTGAAACGTCAGTTGAAGAGTGAGTCTAACCACAACCCACCACTTGCATATAATGTCGAGTTTATACTGCCATTTCCAACTCTTTGCGTGTATGGAGGTGTTGACGAAATAAGGTTTAGTGGCCGGCTCTAATGGGCAAAAGGTCAACTTAACCGAAAGCTATGATGGTATGAACTTATGATTGCAGTCTGGAAAGCGTAGAACGCACTTCCAACCGAGGAAGAGTCTAGCGCTTACAATTCCAACTTCCCACTTATCTCCAAAAAATTGCCAATCAATCACAACCTTAGTAAAATCAGATTGTAGACCGTGCCCATTAAAATCCAAAGACAAATGAGTCAAGACCTAAAAGTCAATGCAGATAAGTTTGGCACATATATAATGACATTTTTTCATCTATTTTATGATTACAATTTATAATTATAACCATACGATGAAGTCACATATGAATGCAACATAAGTAACTCTTGAACTATATATTAATGAATTGAGCTATGATATGGTCACTAGACGATATATGTACGCCCGTGACTTTTGAGCATTCAGATATTTTTTATGATTAAAAGCGCGATTTTTTAGTATTCAGATATCATCAACAATTAAAAGTCACTCTCGCGAGCAGAGATGACTGCTCCTACCAAAATCCTTAGCGCAAACACCTCATAATTTGTACTAAACAAGTTTTTTGAGCATAAAACTGACTTGAAATTTAATTATATGGGAGATTCGACGATAGTGAGAGTTAAGAATCGAACTCTGACAGTATATGGAAGGAACAAATGTTTTACCGGCCGGTAAAGCTGTTTGACGGAGCATGAGCATGAGCATGTTGTTTGAAAACTTAAAAATAAGAAAACAACTACAACTAAATAAACAGGAGCTAGGAGCAGTAATAAGGTGATTAATCAATTACCTCGTTGAGGAAGTCTTGAGCAAACAACTTGGTGACTGGAATTACTCTTAAACCCACACCGGCCACCACGTGCGGCGCAACTGCCGCACCCTGGCCTGTCCCATGCGAGCCGGAGGTTGCCAGTCAGGTCTGACGACATCAACTCCTCGTACAACGGGAATTCAACCGGAACAACAAACGTACCGATTGGATTGCATGTTGAAGTGGACGCCAAGTAATTAATCACCATCGGAGAAGTGGTAGCAAATACAGTGTACGTAGAGCCACTCATGCAAGCAATAGGGTTTAATGAGTATTTCAAATAATCCAACGAGCAATTAAAGTAAGTGAAACTTTCATTTGTCACACCATAAAATGGAGTGCCCGACAGATTGAGGGACAAAATTCGTTGTGCGAGGCATTTGTTTGGATCGTTAATCCATATTTCTTGTTCGGCATAGTCTATACCCTGGAGAGTGAACTGTCCGGAATAAGGAAGGGTGAGGATTGTTTGGCTGGTGTTGTCACAGGACAGTTCAAAACCGGGATACGAGCATGACTCTGACCCCTTTTTTTGTATACCAAACGGGAATTCAATCACCGGCTCGCCGACGCCGCAAATATCCGCCTCCTTGCAATTTTCTAAGCTGCTTGCAAAGTATGAGGATGACAAGAAGAAGAAGAGGATGAAGAAGGACAAGATTGCTCTGGGAATATTCATTTTTTTGTGGGACAGAACTTGATGCTTGAAAATCGGAAATTGGAGATTGGAATATGGATAGCAGGGCAGGCACAGATACTATACACTTCCAATATATATTGCATTATATCATATTTGACTTTGTAGAATAAAGGCCAAGTCTTCATTCACCATTCAGTTTTTTAATTTTAATTAATTTTTAAACTCTGTAGACTAGATTTAATTAGATATGAAAGCGATGACGATATGGAACTCTTCTATTTGTCAGAGTAATTTTCGGTGTGCTAGTTAAAACTCCATCACATAGTGTTGTTATTATATATGTAGTAAAATTATATATATATCAATTGTCGTTCCTTCATATTATAACATGTAAAATGATACATAATGACATAAAAATTTGAAGTACATAAAATATTTTCTTATTTTTGGACGGTGATGATGGTGACCAAATTGAGTGCCCACGCAAGATCAGGATTCGATGGGAGAAGTAGAGAAATTTGGCGCTTCCTCACTGCATCACTCTTTGCCAGTAAAGACCGACCTGTTCAAAAGGTTTAGAGGTGGTCTATTGACTCGAATCATGAGGAAAACACTGTATGATTTTTTTAACTGAAACCAAAATATAATAAAGCTGTGATATTAATGTCTTTTACCACAAATATTGCATAGGTTTAAGCCAATAATGGCTGCTTGATTAGGATACTAATTTGACATTCGAACTTGACATACTCTACTAATTAAATTAGAGAGCTACTAGACCCACCATATTGTTTTATTTTCCTATCCACGTTATAATCTTACCCACCTTAAAAAGTTAAAAAATTAAAATGTTATTTCGCCACCCACTATTATTTCCAAAATAACCTTTAATATATACATACATATGAAATTATAAAATTGTCCCTTAAAAAATATAACAAATAATATGTAAATGAAAACCACTAAAGTATGCAAATTCATATGGAAACGACAGAGGTATTCAAATTCAAAAGAATTTGACAACGACAAATTCAAAAATACGATGAACAAATTCAAATGACTTACACATAAATTATTCTTCTACCTCTTCTATAGAAACGTCATCTTCCACCTGTTCAATGAAAAAGTCATCTTCTAAGTCCATTGATATTTTTTTACTTTCTCTTAATGAAAGGAGAAGAAAATATGAGTTAGGGTTTTAAGGTAGACAAATTGTCTTCCACGCCCAACCTTTTTCTTTTTTTTTTTTTTAAATTAAGCAAAATAAGATAATTAATGTCCTTATCAGTCTTTTTGTAAATGAACAAATTTGTAATTAAAAAAATCATTAAAAGGTGGGTGGGAAGATAAGACATTGGGGTGGAAATAACATTACTCTTAAATTAAACAAGAATTAAAGCTTGCATTATTAATTTTTTTGATAATATATTAAAAAGTCCGGTATAGAATTCTTCTGATATATGAAATTTGGAATTGACTTGCTCCGCTTAATACTGCCATATCCGTAACTGTTGTTAATACAAAACTAACGGCCTTTCAACTATAATTTATCTATGGTTGGTTTGTAAGAGCTACATATTTTAATACCCTTAATATAACCTTTACTATTTTCTCTTATCAATACTCATATATCATGCGACGTATATAAACGACTAATCGTAACATTTATCAAATAAATAAATCTGATTAGATATACAAATATCATGTCACCAAGGCTGTATATTCTTGAATGAGTATAACATAAACGACGTGACAAGTCCTATAAAACCATCACACCAATCTTACTCATGTGACATGTAAGAATCTCCCGTTACCTAGATGGTCTTAAAAATTGATGCAAATAATTACAATGTTATGAGATTCATATCAGACCATCTTGGATCAATGTACAGTTGAGAAGTGTTGTATTTTGCGTCATGCACAGCTTGAAATGGTCAAGCTATATATTCAAAGGATTAGATCGATCAATATATAGAGCTACAGCCAGTTATCAAATAAAATTATAGATTGATGAAATCCAACGGTTGGTGGTTCCAAGCCACAGACATAGTCCACCATCATGACCAATGGCAAAATGGCGACGACGATGTTCGTGTGAGAGATTAGGGCACGGCTCACTGTGGCGCTCCTGTTAGCAGCAGGACTTGTTCAAAGTAATACATGGCAGAAAAGTTAATACAAAACAAGAAGTTTAAAAATATATATTATCTTTTAGACGAACGATTGTTTAATCAAAAGCGAATGATTGCTCCTGAATTATAAATCATGCGGCATTTGGTTATGCAAAAATTATATGGCACTTGCTTTTAGATTAATAATATTATGGGTTCGCATTTGATTCAGCTAGCCTACCATTGCTTATAGACTTGGAAAGAACCAAAGACCGAAAATAATGTCTGAAAACCTGAAACGTGCAGCATATATATAAAGTCATTAGCATACACATATGAAAAGGATCAAGGGACCCGTGCTAGACAAAATCATAGTTTCAGGTATAAGATACTATCATTACTATCTGAATAATTAGCCATTAAACCAATAATCGCAGTGAACCAATTGTTGCAAATTCTAAGGTGGGTAGAACCAACTTTCTCTTACCTCTAATTTAAATTAGGTGGTGCTACTCATAAATATTTTTTTACCTCACACACCCCTCTCAATTCTGACTGTCGAACATTGAATGAATAAAAGAATATCAAATGACATAAATTAACAAGAAATATGTGAAAAAAAAATTTGATGTGTGAATAGCATCACCCTTTAAATTTGTTACCCATTTTCAACTTCTTATGTTAAGAGTTCAGTTGACCCCAAAGGGAAATACACTCTTTGTTAGGATGATGGGGGTTTGTCTACGGTAGATTAATGCAGTGAATGCGAATTTGGAAACATCATGGGGCTCCATTGAGTTGTGTAGCACCACTTCAAGAATAACACCATTTGATTAAAAATTTGAAAATTAATTATTTGGAGGTAGTCGTGCCTAATATATTAAGAGGAGGCTATCCAAAACCCTAAATGATGAGTACCAATTGAAAGTACTATCATTGTGACTCATTGAGGACTTGTTCGAAATTTGTTTTTAAATAACTGAAAACATTCATATAGAAATGTTTTTAAATTCCAAAAACATTTAAAACGGTATATAAACCTTTTTGTAGCGTGGCATGTCATTGGCTTGTCATGACTGACTGGTGATCTCCTAGAGGATCACACTGCCGATAGGCTTTGATCTTAACAGCAAGTCCACCGTTGTGGACTACTCGGGGGACAGTGGACCAAATAGGGCTAGATAGCCCGGCTGCAAGCCTCCAGCGTTAGGAGCCCAAGGGATTGGGCAGGCCTGAGCAACAGGCCCGTGAGGAATCGCTAGCCCGCGAGCCCAAGGTGGACCTGACGCAGGGCTGACGTCAGGCTGGCGTCAGTCCCTTTTTTAATTTTTTTTCTATCAGGCGTGTGCGCCTCACCCGCGCGTGGGGACACGTCAGCAGACAAGTTTCAGACCACAGGGGCCCGCAGAGTAGTCGACCTCAGTTACCGTTGGGAAGCCACGTGGCTTCCCATGCTGCGTTCGATCTGAACGGCTCTTTAACTTGGACCATTCGATCTCAATAGTAATAAAAATTAAAAAAAAAGCTTATTTAATATCAACCGTTCGATCTGAGATCAACGGTCGATATTAAATAGGCTTTATAAATAAATAAATAAAAGAAAAAATAGTTTTAAAATTAAGAAAAGTTACCATTGTGACACGTGACACAATCTGGAGTGTTGGAATTCAAATTTTTTTATATCCAACGGTAGAGATTAATTAGTTGAATAAAAATTTAAAAAAAATCCGAAAAAAAATCTGAAATTTTAAAAAAAAAATTGTTTTTACTTTTCTATAAATACCTTCTCATTATCATCTACCTTACACCACGATTAAAAATCTTATCCGAAATTACAAATAAAATTATTTTGTATTATTTAATAATACTTCGGATAATGACACGTGACGCAACGAGAACGATTAAAAATCTTATCCGAAATTACAAATAAAATTATTTTGTATTATTTAATAATACTTCGGATAATGACACGTGACGCAACGAGAACGATTAAAAATCTTATCCGAAATTACAATTAAAATTATTTTGTATTATTTTATAAATAAATAAAATACTAATATTTTATTACCTATTGTCAGGACAATTGAAGTGCAACGATGGAAATGCAAAAGACGATTACTGTTCATTACGACAGTTACTGTTCACCAAGTGGATAGTATAGTGTATTACCTGGGAAGGTTTCACACGCTGAAGTTGCTCTAAGGGTTCGAGTCATAGCATCCGTCCGGGAATTTGAAGGGTTAAGTTTCTTCGTTCTTGGTTTCATCTGGCGCCGTTTCGAGTTAATTTAGCTCAGCAAAACAAACAAATAACCAGAGATTTCGATCAACAATGTTTATTGGTTGGGTACCCATGTTTTTATTTCACTCATCGAATTCCAGATTACAATCAATCAAATCACTGCAACACAAAATCCAACTTAAACAACGAGAAAATTCTCCAAAAAAAAGTAAAAAAATTACATAATATTATGATCATAATACGATCAAATCTGGAGAAAAAGAAAACTCAAAAATCAGAGCAGCGACCGTTTCGCTCCCAATCACCGAAACGGGTGGGCTCCGGTCCTCTGGGCCCACGGACCTCGCCGGTCTCTTTATTCACAAACCCATCGTCGTTATCATCATCATCTTCTTCTTCTTCTTCAGCTTGTTTTTCGAGTTTTTCTACTATGGGTTCACCGTGCTCCTTGCTGGGTTTTTCGTGCTGGGTTTGCGATTGCGAGGCCGACGAGCACCGGAGCCGACTCACCGAGTTGACGCCGGCGCGAGTTAGAGGTTCGGTCGCGGAGATTGTCGGGATGATCTTTGATGCGAATAGACGGCCCAGACTGATCGCCATCTCTGTTGATTTCTGTCCTTTCTTCCTCTGCGAAATAGGGACGAAATATAATTAGGAGGCGGAGGGAATACAATTGTGGTAGACATACGGCGTCGTGTCGTGAATTCGCAGAGCCACGTGTTAGAAAAAATTTCTAGTATCCAAACTATTTGTATTGGAAAATGATCCTTGTCCCCCGGATTCTTTTCCCGAAGGATATGAAGAATCTTGTAATCGTGTCTGTTAAAATGATTTCTGATCGTATAATGTATGATGAACAGTTATAATTACAAGATTTTTCGGATCTTTAAAAAAAGAATTCGGTAGGAATCCTTTTTCATTTGTATTATGGTTTGATGTATTTAACTGTATATCTGACATATTGAAAAATCTCTCACTATAACAACTTTAATAGGTTTAAATGCAGGAGATCCTTCTGCCCACCTGCCAGACCACATCATGTGTCATAGACAAGTAACTAGGGACAACTTTTGTGTTCCATAGTCAAATCATGTCATTTCCCGTTCCGCTTGACTTCATGTGGTTACAACTTTAATACAAAGAGAATGGAAGACAAGATTTTAAGGAGAGAGGATCTTGCCGGATACTTTTGCGAGGATCTTAGAAATTCTTGAATTATATCTATTTATTATGTATTGTACGGTTAATTTTTATCCGATCTTGTATCTATTTAATTTTAAATAAAATAATTTTAAAATAATTTTTGACCGCATAATTTACGATAAATAGATGTAATTGAAGAATTTCCAGAATTCTCATAAAGAGAATCCAACGAAGATCCCATTTGATTCGACTAGAAGACACGAAAACTTGTCTTCCATTCTCTTTAGGCAAAAGTGAGACTAGTGTCGCACTTATTTGTGTCTAACAAATGACGTTGTTCGACAGACATACGTAAGAATTTATCCCTCAGTGGGCTTGTTGTAGGAAGGTGGTGTAAAAGTCTAAAAGACAATTAAATCGTTAATTCAGTTTTTACTTCGGCTTTAATTTCAAATTCTGCTCTTAAACAAAATAATTTTCCTTATAATAATATTTTTAAATAATTGGTAAAGAACGAAAACTGTACATTTATTCCTTTAATAATTAACCACGCAAAAACACCCGGGTAAAAAAATATAAACAAATTATAATTTATTCTAAAACCCCCATACCCAGCTCCCGCTGCAAACTAGTTTGATTTTATAGCCACCAGCTCCTGCTTCTGCTGCTCCTTCCGGCAGCAGCTCCATCCGAAACCGAAACGTGCTAATCTCTGTGTGCTTTTTGCTGCTGCTGTTTTGGTTCTTTAATAATAATCTTCGATGATCGTGGAGCCATCTATGTCATCACTGTGTGTTTGCTGGTGCCCGTTGGGTTTCTCTTGCTGAGGTCTTGGTGCCTCTTGCCTACATTTTGATGGCTCCCATTGCTGATGGTGTGGTCTTCTTCTTCGTTCGAGAGGTATTTGTCAACCTGTGCAGCGGCTTGCCTTCCCTCTGAGATTGCCCACACCACAAGGGATTGACCGCGCCGGCAATCACCAGCGGCAAATACCCCATCCACATTGGTTGAGAACCGACCATAGTCCGCCTTGTAGTTTGAGCGTTGGTCACGTTCCAAACCCAACTTCTCTGCTACCGTCTGGAACAGAAGACACAGAAAAAACCTAGTGAGCAAAACATGTATTCGAATTTCCAAGAAAGCCTGAATGTTAGTGGATAGGAATTCAAATTACTAACCGCCTCTGGTCCAAGGAACCCCATTGCGAGTAGGACGAGGTCAGCCTCGAGGATCTCCTCAGATCCCTCAATTTCCTTGAATTGGAACCGCCCAGTTTCATCCTTCTCCCATTTGACACGCACCACCTCGAGTCCTTTCACGGCCCCATTCTCATCTCCCACAAATCTCTTTGTCAGCACCTCATAAGTTCTTGGATCTTTGCCAAACTTAGCTGCAACTTCTTGGTGCCCATAATCCACACGGAATACACGAGGCCACTGCAAATCCAAAGTAAAGAAAATAAATACAAAAGACGTGTAAGAATACACTTACAATGTCATAAAACTTGGTTAATCAGCGATCCAAGCAAGAGCGATGTAAGAACAGACGGACAAGATTTTACAGTAATCCAACCTGTGGCCAAGGGTTTCCTGGAGCCCTTTTTCGTGGTGGCTCAGGAAGAAGCTCCAAATTCATGATGTTAGTGCAGCCATGGCGAACGGATGTTCCAATGCAATCAGTGCCAGTGTCACCTCCACCAATTACCACAACTTTCTTGCCCTTGGCAGAGATGTAGTTACCATCCTCAAGATTGCTATATAGTAAGCTTTTGGTGTTTGCATGAAGAAATTCCATAGCAAAATGTACTCCTGACAGCTCTCTCCCTGGTACAGGAAGGTCCCTGCAAAAACATAACAAGACAAGAAAATAAACTTAACTACTGTTTACCATATTCAGATACTTCCGTAGCTTCACGAAGACTATATATCTACAGGATTTCACTAAGTGTAAGTTACCTTGGTTTTGTTGCTCCTACTGCTAAAACAATGGCATTGTTCTCCTCTCGAAGGCGATCAAGTGAGTACAAAGGATCATTTCCAATATTAGCATTAACCACAAAGTTGACACCTTCCTCAGCCATAAGGTTAACCCGCCGTTGAACTATCTCCACTTTATCAGTCTTCATATTAGGCACTCCATACATCATAAGCCCTCCAATTCTATCAGCACGCTCATACACAGTCACTGTGTGGCCTATTCTGTTTAGCTGATCAGCAGCAGCTAGACCAGCTGGCCCGCTTCCTACAATGGCAACCCTTTTCCTGCAATTATAAGAAAATATCAAACTAATGATTCGTGCACAGAAAATTTGCGAAATAATATTCTGACAACAGAGCATCAATCTTAGGCTGAGAAGAAAACCATACCCAGTTCTCTTTACAGGAGGTCGTGGCACCATCCAACCTTCCTCAAAAGCCTTGTCTATGATGGCACATTCTATGCTTTTGATAGATACAGGATTCTCAATAATACCCAGAACGCAAGAACCTTCACATGGTGCCGGACAAACACGACCAGTAAACTCAGGGAAGTTATTTGTCTCGAGAAGTCTCTCTAATGCTTCACGCCACCTATTCTGGTACACCAACTCATTGAACTCTGGTATTTTGTTACCAAGAGGGCATCCAGAGTTCTCCTGCAAATTTAGTTTAGAGAACGTATTCAGTAATCGGTTGAGGTAGTCTGTCCATAACTAGATAATTCTCGAATCTCGATAACAGGTAACAGAGCCAACAAAAGAGTACAAGTTCTCACCTGATGGCAGAAAGGAGTCCCGCAGTCCATGCAACGGGCCGACTGAGTCTTCACAAGTGGTCCAGGTTTAGTTTCCTCCATAACTTCCTTCCAGTCATTCATCCGAACATTAGGATCCCTATATTGAACGCCCTCACGCTCATAATAAATAAAACCACGATGTTTAATAGCATCAGTGACCTGAGAAGGCCTTTTCAATGCTTCAGCATCTTCTACCTTCTGCAAAATTCACCTCTCATATAAGAACCTTTTAAGATTAAAGAATCCATAGAGATTACCAGGACGCAAATTCAAAATAATCATATTTCTGTATAAAAACTTTAAACCAATTACGCTTGTAATGATATGAACACTTTCAGACAAAATGAAACCAATGTGAATACTATGAAGATCAGAGAATGTATGTTCCACATATACTGACATTATACTCGTGAAAACAAATCAGAAGGGAGATTCCCACAAAACAAAAATTCTTTTGTTCGTCTAACAAAAAGGGGAGAGAGAGAGAGAGAGTGTGTGTGTCAAAGAGAAAGCGAACTCATGCTTATATATAAGGGTAAATAATTCAATTACCTGATTGGATTTCCCATTTAAAGATGCAGCCGCCAACTTCTTAAGTTCTTCAAAAGCACCTTTCTCTTCAAGCTCTGGCTCATCTTCCTTGTGCTCTATAACCTGTTTGGTTTCCTCTTTCATATCTGCAAGAACTCGCTTGTACTCTCTTGGGATAACCTTGATAAACTTAGGCAGAATATTTTCAAAATCAGCCAGTACTTGAACGGCCAGCAGGCTTTTTGTGTGGCGTTGATGTTGTTGTATCATCATTTGAAGAGTCAGAATATCTTCTTCTTCTTCAAGTGTATCAAGATCTACAAGCTCAGGATTACATCGAGACCGAAATTGTCCATCCACATCATAAACATAGGCAATACCACCACTCATACCAGCAGCAAAGTTCCTGCCAGTTTTCCCGAGCACAACAACAGTGCCACCTGTCATGTATTCACAGCCATGATCACCAACACCCTCGACAACTGCCTTAGCCCCTGAATTGCGAACACAAAATCTCTCTGCTGCCATTCCATTGAAGTATGCCTCACCACTAGTGGCACCATATAAAGCTACATTACCGATGACAATATTTTCTTTTGGGTCAAACCTGCTTCCCTTGGGAGGATAAACTACAATCTTTCCACCAGACAAACCTTTACCAACATAATCATTACTGTCACCCTCAAGCTCAAGCATGACTCCAGAGCACAAAAATGCTCCAAGACTCTGTCCTCCACTTCCACTAAATTTGATATGAATGGTGTCAGCAGGAAGCCCAGCCCTGTTGTAACGTTTTGTCACCTCGTGGCTAAGCATTGTACCAACAGCACGGTTCACATTGCAAATTGGTGTCTCAAAATATACAGGAAGAGCTTTTTCCAAAGCAGCTTTAGACATAGAAATTAGCTTGTGATCAAGAGCCATATCCAAGCCATGGTCTTGTTTCTCAACACAATATTGTGCAGCTCCAGGCCGAAGGTCTGCTGCAGGTCGAAGTAACAAAGATAGATCAATATTGTCAAGCTTCTCATTGTTTTTAGTCACTTCTCTATCAACTTCAAGCATATCTGAACGACCAACCATCTCATTTATAGTACGGAAACCAAGCTGTGCCATTATCTCTCTGAGTTCCTCAGCTATCATAAAGAAAA